AGCGAGTTCAAAGCCAGCCTGAGCTATATAGTGAGATCCTATCTCAAAAACAAACAAAAAAAGTGCAAAACAACACACACAAAATACCACAGCTGAAAGACAGTACTAGAACATACACCTCAAAAAAACACGCATGCAGAATTTATTAATATTTTAAAAATCAATGCAAAGAAACAAACAGGCAAAGGATCTTAATGGACACCATGGGAAACAGCTAGGAGGACTTAAGCCTTATAATATTCAACCCCAAAGGATTGTTTACTGTGCGTAGGCCCCAACAAGTGGGAAGGGAATGCCACACCTAGCCAGGGGTTAAACAAGTTAAAACGTGGGACTGGTGAGGAAAAATACGTATTGTTTCTGCGACAGTTAATGTTTAGTTATGCCTAAGGGAAATGATTTTTATATATATTTGCTTAGGGCTTGGGGGTGGTTCCTTTAAAAATCTGTTATACTTGTTTTCCCAGATGAATATAGAATCATTTTGTCAAATTCTAAACTAAAATTGTATTGTTTTCCACTGGAAAAAATACCTGCCAAGACCAAAGACTAGGGAAAATGTGAACTCAAAACCACTGGTAGGAGTAGAACTGGTATGTATAATGTAGAGATCAATTTAGCAACATCCTATTAGATGCTGATTCAATTTCTAGATATATACCTCAGAAATTACCACACTGTACAACACGCCAAATATTGCACTTTAGTATTTATCACAGTGACACTGGAAAAAACGGAAACAAGAAAATTGATAAATTTGTGACATAATCAATGAACTATAGCATTAAATGAATAATTTAGAGAAATGTGTCAGCATAGCTGTATCACAAAAACAAGTGATACACAACAGGTTATACATGGGATGTCATTTAGTTTCAAAAACAGGAGCCTCCCTAACAATCATCTTTCCAACTCCATGTTCTTAAGATAAAGCACTTAAATGGGTCAATTTTCACCAAATGTCCACTACTTGCCCAGCAATATGAAAAGTTTCTCTTTGAAGGCAGCAGAAAATAATACTCAGAAATGGGCATAAATTGGGCAGAGAGCCTGGACAGCATTTACTCCACCCCTTCCTGTATTTCATTGTTCTCTACTTACTGCAATCATACACACTTGAGAAATAAACCACATTTCTTTAAAGTCTTTTCCCAAGTTTTCACCACTAAATGCAAATTTTACCTTTCAATCAAAATGAACTTAAAGATTCTTTGGCTGACTCTCAGGAACACTAAAATTTCTCTACCAGGAAAAAGTTCAAGCCGGGTGTCACCGGTGGTCAGGTGTGGCAGCTCACACCAGTAATCCCAGCACTCAGGAGGCTGAGGCAGGATTGTTGCAAGTTCGGGCCCAGCCTGGGCTACCATGTGAGCTCAAGGTCAGCGGCTGTACAGTGAGACCCAGTCTCAAAAAGACAAAAAAAAAAAAAAAAAAATTCAAAAAAATATACTTAGATGCTTCATTTTTTTCTTTTTCCATCCTTTCTGATGGGGCAGGCACTTCAAGCATATCACACACTATCAATTATGCTCAGTGTTTCCTTGCATATTTTGCTTTAGAAAGACTTCTGGGGTAAACCAACGTCAGAACAACGAAAACCACACAACACATCCTTTTACGATGAGTCTTCACAGTTCATGTGGTAGGTGCTAGGAGATCCTATTGCTTTCTTACTGTAAGCCCTGCACTATGCTAAATGCTTACATTTTAATCCTCACAACTATCCTAGGAGTACTGTTATTAGATATCCTTTTTATGGATGAGAATTGGGTTTTTAAAATGTAAGAAAACTCTCCGGCATATCTAGTATGTAGCTGAGCATAGATTTAGAAGTCAGTTTAGAAAGTAGGAAATGGAGCTATAGTGCCTCTTTGTAGGGTGTACTTCTAAAATTTTTTCAGCACTTTTCCTATTTCTACTTGGCCCAAACTCACTAGCAAGTGCTGTGCTGCTGAGCTATACCCTGGGCCATTTTTCTACCTTTAATAAATGTGAAACTATGCCATTTTAAAAAAAGGGGGGCAGGCAACAGGATAGGCTGGAGACAGACCTCCTTTCAAAATGTAGTATTCTTAACTTCCTAATACAACACAACCACCTTAGTGAAAGACTATGTCCCCCGACAGCACACCCTGTAGATTTTAAGTACAGTAACACCTCAGTTCACAAATGCTTCTGTCTGCAAACAATTCAATTAGCAAACAAAAATGTTCAGCAAAAATTTGCTTCTGTTCACAAACTCGGTTTCAGGTGACAAATGTAACCACGGCCATCGTCCCCACACAAATGCAGCCACCTTTTTCAAATTAATAGAACAAATTAAGTTCATAAAGTGAGGTACCACTGCACTATATTTCAAAAAACATGAACATTTTACAGTACAAATGAAAATGAATTTTCAAATTGTTATGTATTTTAGAAGAAAAAAATTGAGACAACAGTCACCTCTGGGTGGCTTAATGTCATTTTAATTTTTATACTGTTTCCCAGCATTCATCAGTATACAATGGTCAGTTAAATTTTTTCCCCCACCGACTGTCTGCCTTTCTTTACTAAAATATCAAATTCTATTCCCAAGCTATCAGTTAACTCATTTGTTTCGTGCTCACCATCAGATAACAAAAGACTTAATATCCACTCAGGACAGTAAGTTTTAAACATTCTATCTGGTGAAACAATTCTTCTACACTGAAGCCAATTTCTGCCAACTTCATGTAATTTAAACTGGAAAGCCAAGATGTCTAATAGGTAGAACAATTAACGTCAATCTAATCTTAAAACCAAGTATCACAAAAATAATTTATTCAACAATCCAAAACCTCTAACAATACTGAAGAAAATTTAATAAAATGAAAACTCCAGGAAACCAGTAGAGGCACTACCAGGATTTAAAGTATGTATAATTAAGATTTTAAGGGAATGCTTGCTCAATTTTAAGTGATTCTAACAAACTATTTATCAGAGCCACTTGAGGACCTGGTGCAAAACTCGGTAAGTCACGAATGAGGCTAGGCACACTTTTTTTTTTTTTAGAGACACGGTCTCGCTATGGAGTGCAGGCTGGCCTCAAACTCAGTGATCCTCCTGGCTCAGCCTCCCAAATGCTGGGATTACAGGCATGCGCCACCACACCTGGCTCCACAGACTTTAAAAAAAATGCTCCCCAGCATTTTCTGATTAACAGTACTGGTTAAAAAGTATTTTCTATCAAATGTCGGACATTCCTTCAGCTTATCTGTACATGTATTTTTAAATATCTTAAACATTTTCACTATTTTAAGGGCCAATGTTATTTACAAGGCACCTGACTGCAATAAATGTAGCTCTTTTAAAGGTTTATGCACTTTCTGGTTGAGTAGCTTTTCAAAGTCATTAAACATCTAGAAAATGAGATGTACTTACTATTTTCTTTGAGGCATAGAGAGTACAAACATCTCATCTACTAGATGACTATGTTACAATAGGAATTACCTGTTATGTAAACATACTGAATATACTAGTAATTCATCTAACAAAGTAAATGACAGAGAACACTTATATGACAAGAGTACACACTTGTAAGTTAGACTCATGCTAATATGGATCTTGTAACTATAAAAATCTAATCTCAGAATAATCCTTCATGTAGTACATTTCCAGAGTTTATTCATCATTTTAAAGACAGAAAAACAGAACTACGTAAAACTGCTTAAACTTAAGGCGGAATACTCTGTAGGGAAGATCTAAATTTCATTAATATATTCCTACAGGGTACTGAGAAAATTGAGACTTTAGTAATTTTCAAGACTACTTTTCTTCCTCATATTTAGTCTCTAAATATTTAGAAATTCTTGAATCAAGTGCTCTATGAACCTAATGTAAGAATTTCAGTAATTCTTGAAAACATCTTGGTATCACTCTAAAAAGGTTTTCCCCTGATTCAATAGATATTTTGTTCAAGTGAGCGAAACCTTAAACATGATCTTCACGGTCTTAAATAAATTCTGCAAATTAACCTGAAAGTTTGAAGATTCGAATTCTAATCCTCAAAACTTCAAAATAACCCTACATTCCACTGATTCATCTCTGTAATCCCACATAGCACTTCCTTTTCTGTATCACAAGTCTCTCAATTAGAAAACCTGTCCATGTTTCTGTGTGCTGAGAGCTGTTTTATGTACTCAATAACAACAGTGTCAGTGCCCAGAAAACAGACAATACAAACCTTTACTACTACTGTATATGTGGAAAGGAATTTGATTTTTATTTTAATGTTATTTCTTCTATTCTTCTCTCTCTGCCTTTATCATGATTAAATATACACACTCAAAACAAGTAGCTGGGGATGGGGATTTAGCTCAGCGGCACAGTGCCTGCCTGGCAAGCATGAGGTGTGAGTTCGATTCCAGGTACTAGAAAAGAAAAAAAAAAAAAAAAAAGATTTAAAACGAGTAGCTCCTGCCTACACGGTTACCAAAGGTTTTTTTATGCTATCATTTTGAGGAGTTATTTATATAAATTCAGGTTTTTGGTAAATCCAAACACTTTCCACTGCTTTAAAACAGTAAACACAAAAAAGGTTTGCAAAAATGGTAATTATAAATGGCCAGGTGTGGTGGCACAGGCCTGTAATCCCAGCACTTGGGAGGCTGAGGCAGGAGGACTGTGGTGAGTTCCTGGTCAGCTTGGGCTACATAAGTGAGTTCAAAGCCAGCCTACACTACATGGCAAGACCCTGTCTCAAAAAACCTCAACCCCTCCTGAAAAAAGGTATTGACAAAATTGCTAAGAATTAGTGTAAACTAAAAGTTAACAAATTTTTTCCTAAAGTTACAATATGCTAATTTTCAGGTGAAATATTAAAACATTCAGTGTCTGTACATAGCTTTTTTTTAAATAAATGTATGTTTACAATTTCAGTATCTGAGATCAAGAATCCAAAAATAATAAGTTAAAGAAAAACAACACAGATTTTCTTACTCCCCATCACAAGAGTTAAAATACACAGGAATACAACAAACTCAAAAGGAAAAAAAATAGTGTTTTATTAACTACCACACTGTTATAATACACTTTAAACGTACAATAAGGTAGCCTTTAAATTTGAGGTGGTCTTAAAGATAACAAATGAACAAAATTCCAAATTTTTGAAATAGGTGAACTGCTGCAGTTATAGGTATGCATTTAAGAAAATTGTATAGCTCTTACAAGACCAGCAATGTAACTTTATTTTGTACATTTTTAATTGAAAATATAAACAATAATTAAAAAATAAAAAGAAAATACAGCGTAATAAAAAACATACATTTCTCAATTAAGTGTATTGGATACATATAAATTTTAAGGGAAGAAGCAAAAAAAAAAAAGGAAAATGGTTGATATTTAAGTGCAGACTGACTACCTAGACAAAAAAAAAGACTTAAAAAAATATCATAAAACCTCTATTTTTCTATGACTAATATCCATATGGTTGGAGTACAGTCACTATGGAAGTGATTTTGTTATGTTTGCATATGTTATACTTTACTGGTAATTTACATAATGGCTTTTAAGGCCCTGGCAGACGTAACGGTTTTTGGAAACAAGATTCGATAAAAATCACTGCTAAGACGCAATACACCTTATTTTTTTGGTCCTCCAATATTCAAGAAAAGGGATAATTCACGATAACATTTTCTTGCCACCCAAATGCCTCAACCTATACATTTTAAACTTTTTTAAACAATGGTTATATTGCCCAACTTCATTACTGAAAGAATATTAACAAGACATTATTTTGGCAAATGAAATCTTAAACATGGCTTTTCAACAGGATTTAAAAGGTGACTATCCCTAGAGTTCCATGTTAAAATGTAGTTTTCAAAATCTTACAAGAGTAATGCTTAAAATATTGTACATAGTTAACCTAATTAAAATAATTAGCTTCAAAATGACAAATTGATAAGCTAAGTAAAGCCTACACTATGTAACATTTGCTTGGAAACTTGATTTGTCAGTTATGCATAATAAAAATTCCAGTCATCAAGAAAATTACAAAAATTTTTATCATAACATGATTTCTTTCACCCACCAACTTTTTTTTTATCTTACAATAGATAAATACCAACATGTTCTCATTTTTACACTAAACCACACAGGATTGATGCATTTGGTTAGACTACCATTCGCATTGTTAAATTCAATTTTCTCTTTATATAACTTGGTAAAATTTCATTTCTTCTAGATTCCAAAAGTACCTACAAAACCCATGCAATTTTACCATTTTTAATATACTATGGAATATCATACAAAGTAAGGCATTTCAGTGTCATGTATAACCAAGTTACTGTCAATCCAAAAATTTTTGCACATCAATAAAAAGATATCTAAGAACTTAGGAACAATATTCTTCTCACTACTGTATAAAAATAACCACAATGAATAAGTATTTGTGTAATATTTACTCCATTGTCTCATTTCCAGAAACTGTGACAAGCTGTAAAGGTATTTCAGTGTTGGTAAGGATATCTTGATTGCTGGTGGCAGAAGTATTAACAGTTCCTATCCCTGAAACAGAGCCTTGTTGAATATTTGCAAGGATAAGTGTTGTTCCTCCTGCAGTAATCAAAGTATCATCTCGCCCAGCTTCCACAGATGCTAGCACTGCACTGCTAGAGTGAATAACTTTTTTATTTTGATGTGTTTTAATATGTTTGGCAAGGTGATCACTTCTCATAAAGCGTTTTGAACATTCTGGACAAACAAATTTCTTCTCACCTGTTAAGAAAAAAATTATGTTACTTAGTTTTTACAATTCAACTGTGGTGACCCAATCAATCTCTCCTGAAACAGAAAGTAAACTGGCAGTTGACGGTGAAGAGCAGGAATCTTAAAATTGTGTTTGTTTCATGATCTGTCCCTTCCTTCAAGATTTCTCTTATACAATGTCTGGCTCCAAAATAATGTTATCTTTAGTTTTTTGATGAAAAGCAATCCTTAAATGTACTGCTTCTCATATTCAAACAAGACTTCAATATCCCAACTATTCTAAGAGTCTGATCTCAAATACCTCTATTTAAAAGATAACCATCTGTAACAAACTATAAAGTTTAAACAGAAGTATCCTTTTGAACTATAAATATATTAACAAGTCATGATCCATGATACTAAACCTCCAATAAATATAAAATCAAGTAAGAGTACTTGTAGACTACAGCACAGATGTAAATTCAAGGTTCAGTTAAGACTGAATGGAATTGGCTGACTAATCTGATGTCAGATGAATAACCAAGAATAAGCCTAATATATTAATATTGAAGTCAACATACTTCTCAGCATGAATAAAATACTTTTAAATAAAAGACAGGCTAAATTTCTATTACATCAAAAATCTGCTATGTAAGAGGAATATGGAAAAGGCAAAGCCCAATCTAAAAGGAATTGAGAGAGAAGTCTCTCAAATTTAGTAAGTATTTCCCTACTTTTTTTCCTTTCTCACTCTTGCACTTTTCAGAAGGTTCATATCAGATTTCATGCCTGAACTGCAATGCAGTGAAATTCTAGTCACGCCCTCTGCAATCCAACAAATCCATGCCACTCCCTTCCTAAAAATACCAAATCTTATACACTTCAAAAACCTCAACTCTATCCTAAATGCTATGGAAATGCAAGGTAACTTGAAGGTAACAGTTCAGATGCCCCACTGAGTTATGTAAAACTGCATCTTCACTCATGTTATTAGCATCACAAAACTTCTGCCAACATGTATTTCCTGAAGCTTCTTTTGGAACATCAGTCTATACCAAACGGCACAATAATCAAATGATGCCGGGAAATGCCACACACATTATATCCCCGTTAAAGATGCATTCCACCTAATAAAAGTCTAAGAAAGTACTGTACTGCCTTATACCATAGGTACTTGGGACTCTCTTTAGCCCAGTACTTACCTGAGCTATCAAATAACCCATATTTATTTGATCTAAGAACTTTTCCCCCGTTCACATTATTCCTTTCTACAACCTACTGATCACATTCCACTGAGGAAAATTCTGTTGGGGATATTTTTAAGGTCTACTATGCCAGTTCACTACCCAAGAATATCTTACTATCCCAAGCAATGGTTCTCTCTCCTTCCGAGCATATTCAACAGCACAAACTGCAACAGAGAATCTTTACTATATCTACTTGTATCGACTGTTGCAGTTGCACACAGGTTAATCTCATCTGTCTAGCTACCTGATAAGAGAGCCAAACAAAAGAAAGCAGAGAAAATCTAATGTGCTACATACTTCACAGTTATTTTATACTATATTTAAGGTTAAATAAATTATGAAGCACTATCAGAGACTGCTTATTTGCATGACCTAACGGAGAACCTGGATTGGAAGCCAGATGTAGCTGACTTCAAAATTCATGTTATTTTCCATTTCACCACACTTTTTCCTTCTAAGCTCTCTAGGAATGGTAAATATTTATTTTTCAATTCTTCAATGTTGAGCATAGATTGGTGAACACTTTGGTCATTTAATGTTACATGGTAGCAGGAGAAAATTAAGTTAGATTTCAACTTGGGTAAGGCCTAAGTCCAACTCACAATAACCATACAACACCATGTAAAAACAAATGAAGAGTTTTGACATCAACAATCCTGTGGCTACTCCTTCATGAAAAGCCTTTCCCTTACTTTGCTGGTACCAAATAGAAAAGAAACATCCAAATTTATCAGAAGAATTATTCTTGTTATAGCATTAAAGAGGAAGAATAATAAAATGCATCAAGAGTGAAAATAACTAACTTAAAGGTATGGTACAAAACATTTCAAAGAAGTCATAGAGCCCTATAATTCATTTTTGTCTATTACAAGCAAGTAATTAGAAAGGCTGGAGGTTACAGCTCAGGCGTAGAATGTGTGCTTAGTATTTGCAAGGCCTAGGGGTTCAAATCCCAACAATAACAACAAAAACATTAGTAACCTGTATGTGTTCTTCTGTGCCTTTGTAACTCATCACTTCGAGTAAATCTTTTACCACAGAACATCCAATTACAAATAAAAGGGCGCTCTCCAGAATGCCAACGCAGATGTGCTCTCAGATGCGAGGTCTTCCCATAGACTTTACCACATCCTGGTATATGACAAATGTGTTGTTTCTTTTTCCCAAGATTGGTACCTCTAAAAAACACACAGAATAATATACACCTTCATGAAAATTTCAAATAGGCATTACCATGTATATCTTATATCCTCATGTTGAGTTTCAAATAGAAGACATTATCACCATGAGGTCAATCAGAAACCAAAACCATTTTAAATCTATTTAAAAGAAATTTATATATTTCAAACATGTCTTATACATAAATTATACTCCAGAATTAATGAGTACTGTCAAAATATAAATACACTCAAGAATTTGTAATTAAAAGGACATTTCAGTGCTCACTTCAGCAGCACATATACTAAAAGGACATTTCAAATATTAAGAATGTACAGCAAAACTAATTACTATTCCATCAGAACCATTCATAAAGACTATTCATAGGCCCAATTCAATTAAATTCACTATATGGGAAACCAGTCTTTATTTGAAAAGCCATATTAGATGACTTAAAATATATATAAATCGAAGAATATAAACATAACTGATCACAGATACAATTACATACAGACAGTTTAAGTAGCATTAAACTAACATGACTTAAGCACATTTACTCAAATACTCAAATGGCCAAACCTGAATATATACTGACTGAAAGTTTTTTAAAATCCAGGTAAAAGCTACTGTCTTAACTCCCTCAGCATTCAGTGAAACAAATATAAATCAAATTATCTTCACAGTTAAAATTTACCTCCTATAAACCATGCAAAGATATCCAAAATTATACATGAGTTGTAACAAATACCACTTTATCCATATCACAAAATTTGACATTAATTTCCGTATCTGATAGCAAGAATAGAGTATGAGAGACATGTGCTTAGATGAGTGAACCGAAGCATCTTAGCCTAAGCCAGAAGAAAACTCTTGACTCCCGAACTGACATCTTAATAGTACTAAACTGCATGAAAATGTTATTTCTAGAAACAAAAATTAGGTTCATTACTAAATAAAGTTTTTAAAAACATGAACTTGGACACTACAGTTAGCAAAATTACTCTGTATAAACTCTGTAATGTTTATCTGATATTTTAAAAAAGTCCATTTAAACCCAATTCCCTCCCTCCTCCCCTAATCTCACAGTCTAGGTGTAACCTGTAAACCTTCTATAGCCTGTAAATCCTCCTGTATACAATACACCTGTTGTTTTTCAAATTCTACTAGAAAATGCATATTTCACCACATTTATATTTTAATGTACTCACACTCAGTAGTATGTGAAATTGCCATAGGACAAACAGTGCTAAACGATGCAGTGCTGGCTGTTAGATGCCATAGGTGTTCTGAACAGGGAGACATCAATGTGGGCTCCAGTAGTTAGAGAAGGCTTCGTGGAGGTGGATAGGATTTAGATAGAAAGGAGGGAAGGCATTCCGGGCAGAGGGATAGCATAAGTAAAGACAAGGAGGAGTCATGCTGTTGTCTCACGGGCAAGGATGTCATCATCTAACACAATTCTAGTTTCTGCTCCAGTCCACCCCCACTTCCTACAACTCTCTTCAAACAGCCAGCCTGAGTGAAACAGGTTTTCTGCCTTACTGGTAATGCCAAAGACTTACTGTTCCCAGGTAATTTAACCTTTTAAAATTTGCTGTATTCTTAAATCCTAAGAGAGCAACGTTTGTGGCTAGCAGTGTACAAAACAATTTTACATACTGTATTCACCATAGTAACTTCATAAAGAACCCTTCGCAAAGAACACAAAGAATTCAGTTCACTCATCACCTCACGCCTTCTTGCCTCTCCCCTAAGACTATCATTCAGGTGAGGCAATGTGCTTCTATGCACCCAAAAACACTATTTCACAAACTGAGCAAAATTTAGTCTGGGAACTCTAACAAGCACAAAACTAAAATTAATAACAGGGTTCTCCAAGGACTAAGAAACAGTAGGGAAAGATATTTTCAACTGAATTATAAGGATAAAAAAGGAATACTAACTGTTTAAAAATAAGACAAACATCTAAGGAAAAAAAAGGGCAGAGACACATGCAATTTAACTGCTTGTAATTTTTTAACGAAATGCTCAATAGTCAAGTCAAAGTTTCTCCCTAAATGAAAAATCTGACTGACTTAAGGTCTCTGAATGCTAGCTATACAGTAATGGCCTGTCCTATGAAGAAAGGGAGAGAACTGAATTTCCCAAAAAAATTCAAGTAATCATGTTTTCCTCTGGATAACACATGATCACACTACTAATACTATGTGACCTGAAAAAATTAATTATTTTAAGTTTGTATTCCTAAATGCCTAGACTTGCTCCCAACAATTTAACAATGACAATGTAGTGAAACAGAATAAAATAAGTAAACTCTGAGTGGAGGAGTTAAGAAAACATCTAGTGTCTTTTGCTTAGGGTGGGAGAAACAAGACATAAGCTGAAATGTTGACAAAGAAAACAAGATTTTGCAAAATAATTTTATATGCATTGATGCTTAATCCATACAAAACCTACACAATAATGCGTGTAGAATTTTCCTTTATCACAACTGTCTCTCCTACTACTCCCTGAAGCTTGGCTCTGCTCAATAAAAATTGGCTGAATGATTACAATTTTTCAATATTTTAATTTACATCTTGCTCACCAAGGTAAACAAAACAATTCTCTAAAGATGAATGCAAAAAATTAGTTTCTCTAAAAATACCATCTTGTTCATATTCCTTTCTTTTGCAAATGAGAAGAAAAGGCCAGTATTTCTTTTTTTTTTTTTTTCCCCACTTCAGTGCCACTTATCCCACCTTTGCAGAACACTTAAGAATGTTTTGGATTCAAATGTATATCTACTAACCAGATACAACAATTGAATATAGCCAGGCATAGTGGTACACATCTGTAATCCTAGCACTTGGGAGGCTGGGGCAAGAGGATCACTGAGAGTTTGAGGCCAACCTGGGCTACATAGTAAATTTGAGGCCAGCCTAAACTACATGGGGAGACCTTGCCTCAAAAAAACAAACACCAAAACAACACAATTGTATATACAAGTGTACCTACTGTGTGTGTACTAAATGAATGCTAAGAAACAATATAGTTTTTTTCCCTTAATTTTTATTGCTTAGCATAAACTATTAAAAAAGAATCTGGCCCTGGTACTACAGGCCTGTAATCCCAGCACTTGGGAGGCTGAGGCAGGAGGATTACCCTGAGTTTGAGGCGGGCCTAGGCTACACAGTGAATTCAAGGCCAGCTTAGACTACATATTAAGACTACCTCAAAAATAAATAAATACAATTAATGTTTCAGAAAAAAATTTTTATACTTCTTGGGATTAAGTACAGCTTTTAATAGTATAATAATGAAGCATCTAATATAAGATCAACTTAAAATTTTGTGGTAAAATGTTTAAAAACTCTTAAGTGATGGAATTCCTTTACTTATATTACATTTTGTAGGCCACTTATACGAACAAAGTTGAAGGTAATGTAAAATCAGGAAAAACACAATGTGCACATACAACACAGCGAATACACAAATTAACGGAGTCACAAAAGAAATAATTCACAAAGTAAATTTTAAGATGGTAAAATAACACATCAAAAAATGTGCAGACTTACGAAGTCATTAAATAAGACAGTAAACAAAACAATATATTGAGGAATTATTTTTTACCTATCAAACTTCAAAAGGTTAAATATAATGAAAATCCATTGTTGGTCAGAATACGGGAAAGCACAGGCTCTAACACACTCTGGTAGAAACAACCTGACACAGTCTTTCTAGCAGACAATTCCTTTTGACTTAGCCAATTCCACAGCTGCCAACTTACACTGAGATAATCAGACAAATGTGTAAAGACATGTGTGAAGACCATGACAACAAGCCCCCCAACAAGACGTTAAAATTATTATACATTCATACAATAAGAATACTATACAGCCACAGAAAATGGATATACGGTCACAAAAATTCTCAAAAGAAGAGACATGTAAAACCATGGGGGGAAAAAATGATGCTACTTTAAAATACATCTAATGTCTAGAAGAATGTATTAAAAATGTTTACAATGGTCATCTTAAAATGGGGTAGGACTTGGATGCTTTTTAAAATATTCATTACCTCTGGATTTTTTTGACCAAGTGTTAGTTTAATAAATATAAATTAATTAAAACATTTTTACTTTGAAGAGTAAGCACAACATTGGCCAGACTTGGCCTCCAATTAGATCTGACTTACATAAATAATTATATCCTGAAGGGTCTCTAAAATGAGAGTAAATTTCAGAAAAGATACTGCCTAACCAGAGTTCCACACGAGAACAAATTATTTTAAACAACTAAATAATTACAATAAGTACAAACATAGAAAAAGACCAGATGCAGAAGCAGATGCTTTTGGGAGGCTGTAAAGTGTAATCGTTAGGGCTCTGGAGTAGTAACTGGGTCCAAATCCCAGGGGCCTGTTCTTAGGAGTCATTTAAGACTACACCTCACTTCTAAGACTGTGGAACATAGTAAATTCTCAATGTTAGCAGTTGTTATTATTATTATTATTATTATTATTATTATTATTATTGTAAATGGGTTGGCCGAAGTATAAATCATCTAATAAGACCAACCAAAGGCAGAAAGACAATAACCTTGTAAACTGTGCATATTTACTTCATAATTATACTGTATATTTGTCTACTTACACAGTGCACAAAGGCTAAGACTTTGTTATCACTTGAAGATTTGGTTGACACAGCTTTGGAGTTCTATCAGATTTTACGCTACTTCAAAGCTGTGTAGAAAGTACCAAAACTAGTAAAGCTTTATTAACAAGAAATATACCCTTATCTGTCCATTAAATGTTTTCTACCTTAATCCCACCATACCCAATATTAACATTACTACCCAAGTTTTCTTTTTGTCAACATTTGCCTAATCTTTCCTCATCCCTCATCTTCTCAATATAATATTGTGTCACGTATTCAAGGTGTACTTTGTAATTATCAATACAGATTTTATGAGTTTTAAAAAATCACAAGTCACAATCTCTTAACATAATTCATCCACCTTTAACATAATTACTGACGATTTTGAGTTTATTCTTGTCATTATTTTGTCTTTGTGTTTATTTTTTAAAACACTGAATTGAAATACTACAATGACAGCTTTAAATCTCATCATTAAGGCCTTTTCCATTTTTTGTTACAAAGAGAAATGTTTTATGATTATCAACTATTTCTGAACTTCTTAGCTTCTTTTTTATATAACTGCAGTTCTCAAGTCAAGAATCAACTTTTTAAATCTTTATTTTGGCAAAACTCATTGCTAGTCTGCAAAGAAGCTGACTGCCGTGAACCTATAAAACTGTGTCTGATACACTGTTTAAAAAATCCAAAACTTTATTTTAAAAGGCATTCAAATCTGAAACTGAATTTCATACATTTAGTTTTCTAACTTCTGGCACACTCATATGGTCACATACCCAAAATGATCATGTAATGAAATACTCTCCCATAATTAAGTGACACGCGCCAAGTGTGGTGGCACATGCTTATATAATCCCAGCACTTGGGAGGCCAAGGCAGAAGGACTGCCATGAGTTCGAGACCAACCCGGACTACCCAGAAAGACCTTGTCACAAAACACTGTTTTAAAAAATGTAAGTGACACAGCATGCAATATTTTTTAAAAATTAGGGTGATGATATTCACTCTCTTTAAAACAAACAAACAAAGAAACACACACCACAGAGTATGGTTTATGTCTGCCTACCTCCCACCACCTTCTTTACAATTGGGACAGGTGCAAGCTACCCTCCGAAGTCTTTTTCCTTCTTGATGTTGTTGGTCCCCTTCTTCATCTACCACCTGAACTCTTAAGTGTGTTAGGTCATTGGTATTCAATGTAGAATCACCACTGAGCTGCCACTCTTCAGGGTCAGGTTCTTCTTCCTTGATCCTAATATCTAAAGAAAAAAACACAGATGAGAGACAGCTCACTGGCCCAGAAACTGTGAGATCTGAACTTCTCTAAGATAAAATGAGTACGATGTAAAGTCAAAAAAAAAAAAAAAAAAAATCACCTGTTTATACAGCATAATCTTTGCTCCTCATAGCTTATTCCTTTCCAACCAATCTACTAAATATCAGAGATAATAAAGGGAAACTTCAATTACAGTTGCTCAGTCAATAAATCCAATAACCAATTCAGGCCAGAACAAATTCTAGTATCTTTACTCTTTCACAATTTGTATCCATTTCACTGAACTACATAGAATGCAAAAGAAGGAAACATTTGTAACTGCTACTCACAAATTTAAGCTTTAAAGTTAATCATTACTAAGATATTTATAAGGTCCACAACATGACTATAGAAGGACATTGAGAATAAGGCAATTTCTATATTGAGTTTTTTATTATAAACCAGACAGACATAAAATAAGCACGCAATGGTGAAAAAGAGTGGATATGGCAGGAATGAGCCACTTTCGCAGCAGAGAAAAACATCGCTATATACACACTGGTAATAATACAACAGCATATTCTAAGTCAAACTAAGAACCAATGAACTGAGGGTTTTTTTTAATTTCAAAAAGCTAATAAAACCTAAGTAAAAAAAAAAAAAAACATCAAACAACAACAAAAAGACTAAATATTTCAGAACAAATAATATAACCCTCCTTTGGTGAAACACAAACTCCTAGAAATTTTTCTTTACTACAGGTAAACTAAAATTCTTATTTTAGATCTGTAATAATCACTAATACTTATGGTAAAAATAACCTTAAAAATCCAGTGTGCTAAGTTGGGATATTGTTCAGTAGTACAGAGTGTGCTTAGTATGTCTGAGGCCCCAGGTTCAATCTGTAGCACCATAGGTAAAAAAGAAAAAAATCAAACGTATCTAATAACTCCTGTATTTGTAACAGTAAGTAAAACTAGAATGCATAACCAACAATCAAGAAAACTACCTCAAATAGCTTAAAACTTATTATTTTAGCAGAATAACCTACATCAAGAATCAAAGGGGGTAAAATAAAAAAGCATAAATGGGACTCTGGCTTGGGCGACCAAGTGGATGGCCATTCAATAAGAGAGGAACTGCTGAAAATGGTCTAGATGGAAGAGGGCAATTAATGAGTGCATGATTGAAGATTACTGAGTTTGAACCATGTGTACAATATGAAAGTAAGAAAACTAGACTACAGGTCTAGAGCACAGAAGGAGATGTACGTGCTAAAAACAGAGTTTAGAATTATCAGTATGTACACAATGAAGAACCTCAGCCAAAGAAATTACATCACTCATGGACTGTGAGATGAGAAGGTGGCCTATGAGGAATACAAACATTTAAGGCACAGGGAAAAGAGAGCAGCCAAGAAAATGTGCTACAATAGCAAAGAATCTGCTTCAAGAAAGGAAGTTGTCAACCTCAAATGCTGCAGGATAAATCAAGAAAGAAACTGATTAAAAAAGTGAGCAAGTACTAATGACAGGTTTAGACAACTTCACCAAGTTGGGTTGAGAGGCAGAAGCAGGGAAGTCTAAGTTAAGGGGAACATAAAGGGAAAAAAGGTGTTCTGTTCTGAAAGATTAAGACAAACACGTTTAGATGCTTATGAGAAAAGATCCGTTACAAGGTGAATTTCCTGAAAGTCCAGAGATGATAACTGAAAGCAGTTACAGGTGGAGTACAACCACCTTTTCCTGTTAGAATGAGGGACAAAAAATAAGGGCACATTCATGACAGGTATTCATATGTATCTACTCTTTGCTCAAATGCAGTGAATTTCATTTGATAGCTAGAAATTAAGGAGAAAGTGAAAGATATTCAATCTGTTGTTTCCACTGTCTCATTGAAGAGAATAACATATGATTAAAACCTTCCCAGCCAGGTGTAGTAGCATACACCTGTAATTCCAGCACTCTAGAGACTGAGGCAGGAGGATCACTGTGAGTTCAAGGTGAGCCTAGGCTACAAAGGGAGTTCAAGGCCAGCCTGAACTGCATAGTAAAACCCTGTCCCAAAAAGAAAATAAATAAATCTTGCTGACACCATGTAAGTCTTAACCTCTGTTCCTTTATAATCAGATACCCAAATGTGTATCATTATAATCAAAACACTGAACAAACATCACACAGTAATAGTTTTTACAAAATTAATAAAAGACAGTGTGTATCATACACACATATTTGAGTAAGTTTTAAGTTTGTAAAATGAGAAATTTTACCAAATGCTTTTTAAGCTACTCATTTCAGTTTAATTTTCAATCTTCTGTGAGCATTTATTCCATGTCATCTGTGATATGATGGGAAAAAAAGTGTGGGCAAAATACTACTAGCAAAAACGGATGATGTTGTCTGGATAGGACCTCACAGAAGAAACACTTAGCTAGGTGCAGTGGTGCAAGTCTATAATCCCAGCTACTTGGGAGGTTGAGGCAGGAGGAGCACAATTAGACAACTTAGCAAGAGTCTGTCTCAAAATAAAAATAAAAAATGCTGGGGCTACAGCTCCCTGGGTTCAATCCCCAATACAATTAAAAACAAAACAGCAAAATTGGCTAGTTTTTCTCCTTACTGCATTTGGATGAACCATAGGCATGCAAAACTTAAAGTGGAAGTATTTTGTCCACCCAAAAACTCTTGCATTCCTTTGGTTATAATCAACCTAACTATTCAAACTATTATCTTCCGTCAAATTCTACTAATCCATTCCAGGCTCTCCTCTCTCTTCTAATTCATCTTTTAACTCAGCTTCCAAAATGTTCTATTAAATAAAAATCTAATTGCATCGTTTTCTTAATTCAACCCCTGCACATGCTCTATTTTCTACAGCATAAAGTCCAGCTCATTAACTTGGTATTCAATCTGGAACTACCCTGCTCTTCCAACTTTAATATTAAAAAGACAAATTCTCAGGCTGGGGATATAGCTCAGATTATGCCCAACACAAGTGCCTGCCTGGCAAAAGCAATATCCAGACTTCAATTCCCGGTACAAAAAAAAAAGACAAATTCTCATCATTTTAAAAACATATATCCTATCTCAGTGTAACACACCTTTACATGAGCTATCCCTCTTGCAAAGTGTTCCTTAGCTGTTTTCCTTCTCCATCTATCCTTTAAGATTAGTCTGAAAGTCATTTCCTTTGTATATGCTTATGGTAATTAGTTTTATTTGTTCATATATTCCTCTAGATAATGAATGCCTCACTAAAAGTGCTCAGAAAATATGTGAATGAACCAATCTTCCTTAAGGAAAACTTTCCAATATAGGTTATAATCTAGACGAGGAAACTTGGTCTTCTTTTTTTTTTTTTTTCTGGTTTATTTCCGGTACCGGGAATCAAACTCAAGACCTTGTGCTTGCCAGGCAGGCACTGTGCCGCTGAGCTAAATCCCCAGCCCCTAAGAAACTTGGTCTTCTACTTCTCTATGTTCCTTCTATGTGCAAATAATACGAAGTTTTGTAAGACTGTTCGCACAGAAAGGATCACAAAGTGCTGCCACTAAAGGTAATAAATTATGCCCAACAAGTGGCATGCCCAGTATTAAATGATTGCACTAATATGCATCTGGTTATATTTTAGAATCCTAATTATAAAATTAATCTACCAAGTCTTTAGTAATACCCTTTTGCCAAATTCATACCAATTTAAGACAGATACAGAGTAAGCACCCCTAATCCAAAAATCCAGAAAGCTTTAGATTTTGGAGTGTTTCAGATTTGAGATGCTTCACTGGTAAAGTTTATGCCAAATATTACCAAATTTTTAAAAACTCCAAAATGTAAAACACCTAAGCATTTTTGATAAGGGATTTTCAATCTGTACCTTAAAAGTAAGTTTTCAGTATAAGGCAGTCAAGTTTATCTTTCTCAGTGTCACCCTGTACATAACAGAAAAATATTTGTTTACTGCACTGTATTAGTGTCTGACATGTACATAAGTACTCTCAAAAATCTATCTCTAAGGCTGGGGAGAAAGGGAAATAATTTGTCAAAATGGCCCATAAATGTATGTAAAGGTACTAACCAACAGATATAAGGGGAATAAATTTAATTCACAATAAGTTATCATATCCATTAGAACGAAAATTTTTAAACAGACCCTATTCAAATGTTGGCAAAGGTAGAGAGCAACTAAAACTCCCACACTTTTTTGGGGGTGGCGGGGGGTTCTTTTCCGGTACTGGGAATTGAACTCACGACCTTGCGCTTGCCAGGCAGGCGCTGTGCTGCTGAGCTAAATCCCCAGCCCCTAAAACTCCCACACTTCTGGTGGGTCTGTAATTGTATACAACCACTTTGGAAAATGTTTCAAACATAACCCGTATCATCTAAACCTGAGTTGATCTGTATCATAAGGCCCATTCATTCCTAGGTATATATTCAACAGTAACACATACGCAAGGTGTGACCAAAAACTATGGTGAATGTTTAAACGTTAAAAAAAAAAAAAATGTATTGCAATTACCACCCCTCAAAATACTGTCCGTCAACTGGAACACACATCATTCTTGCCACTTTCTTTTTTTTTTTCTTTTTTTGGTCTTTTTGAAACAGGGTCTGGCTATGCAGTTCAGGCTGGCCTTGAGCTCACTTTGTAGCCCAGCTGGTCTCAAACTGGCAACAATCATCCTGCCTCAGCCTCCTGAGTACTGGGATTACAGGCGTGTGCCACCACGTCCAGCCCTCTTGCCACTTTTTGAAGCAGTTCTACCAGTCTTCCTTGATGAGTGTCTATAGTTGCTTTGTGCGGCTGCTTTGATATCCTGACTCCATTTTAAGTTTACCTTTCATGGTTGTTTTGATTTTTGAGGAAAAGCCAGAAGTTGTACCACAATGCCAGATCCAGTAAGTAAGGCAGATGAGTACACGCTGTCATGTTTTTATAAGCCTGATTATCCACTGGATGACACTTGCCAACAGCATTCACTATAATGTTTATCACACCTCATAAAGA